TGTGTGTGTGTATATATTTTGTTTTGTTTGGGTATTATTTAGTTATTATGTTTTTTCTTTGTTTTTATTTTAATCTTTTGTTTTTTAATTTTATTTGAGAGTGAGAAAGAGAGGGGGAGAACAGAAGGTTGGGTGGGTAGGGAGGGAGGGAGGGCCTGGGAGGAGTTGGGGAAGGCAAAGAATATCATCAAAATATATTGTATAAAAATATTTAAATTAAATATTAATTTATTTAAATATTTTTTCATTTTAATAATATTATATCTGTTGATTCCTGAATATGAGACCAGGTTGGTTTTGTCATCTAACATAATTCCTTAAAATTGTGTGCACCAACAGTTCGTTTCATTAATAATATTACTTAAAGCAATATTTAAAATATATTTATTAATTGCAGTTTTATGTATATGAATATTTTGCCTGTGCATGTGTGCACTATGTACATGCCAGGTGCCCTTGGATGCCAGAAGAGGTCATAGGATGCCCTGGAATTGGAGTTACAGAAGGTACTGAGCTGCACTGTGGGTGCTGGGGATGAAACCTGGGTCCTCTGTAAGAGCTACGGCTGTTTTTAACCACTGAAAGGTCTGTCCAGACACCTAGGTTTTTTTGTTTGTTCCTTTGTTTTGTTTTTCCCCCTGAGGAACCTTCCATGGCTCTGGATCCACCATTGTTACTAAAGGATGTTTGGGCTGTTTCTAGCTTTTTGCATTTATGAATCTTTTGTCTCTCGATGTTCTGTTTCTTTGACTTCCTGTATATTATTTAACAGAGTTAAGAAGTGTGAATTGATGTATTTATAGAATTTTTAAAGCATATTTTCTGTTTTCTTTTTTTTTTTTTTTTTTACTCTGAGTACTGCTAAAGACATTGGGAACTCATCACGCTTCACTGGTGCTGCTGCTCCCCCCACCCCACCCCCACCGCCGGGGAAGTGTGCAAATCTCACTATTGAGTTCCTTCGCCCTCCCACTTGAAAATGGGGGTTCAGTTTTAAGGTGTAATTACCTTACACCTTTCCCACATATACTGAGCACCTCATCACATGCTGTTTTATGTTTTCACTCTAACAGTGAACCAGGACTTTTAAAAGCATGTGAGGAGGAAAAGTGGTTATCATATGCATTCTTACTGCTATTCATTATGTTCCTTTTCTGGGTAAGATGGATGTAAAAAAATTACTAATAAGAAGGTGTCCTGTTGTTAATTTTCTGTATCGTGAGGATGTATGGCCACCCATGCAACAAAGGGTTTCACATAAATCTCCTCTTGTAAGCTCTTGACAAGAGAGAGGGTTGATGGGAAAGAATGAGGATTTTTAGATTTACAGAGCACTTGGGAAGATGCGACATTGTCCAGTCTTTTCAAAGGTAGAATACTGTTCTTTCCTCCTTCATCATCTGCTGCCAAATGACCAAAAAGCAGTCATCATAGATCTTTCTAGCTGGTGTTGCACACCACCACTGTAAATGAGCAAGTAATATGTTCCAGGGTTTGCTTAAATCAGCCTGCTTTTTTGCGGGGATGCATAAATGAGTTCAGGCATTGTAGCAGGGTGGAATTAGAATTCTGGGCCTCGTGCCTCAGTTTACTTCTCTGGGCTCTAGTCCAATGTGTGATTTGGAACTCTGATTCTCAAGATTTCTCATTTGAAGAAATGTGGTGTGGCTGAGTACAGCTTGGTAAGCATCCATAGATAGGCTGCAGGAAGTCGTACAGGAAGGAAATTTGCTTCACTTATGCAACTCAGTGATTGCTAAGGCTCCTCCCCAAACTCCGTGCTTCTTTAGTTCTTTCTCCCAGCTTCTCATTTAGGAACAGTTTCAAGCGTACAGAATAGTATGGAGAGTATTTTTTCACAGTCACCATTTTAAACACTTTATCCTTTCTTTACCTAGATAATGTTATCTGAAGTGTTGGTAGTGAATTACAAGCATCATGGCACTTTAGTCTTGAATAATTCAGCTATACTTTCTAAGAACACAGCTCTCTCAATCAACACAACATACATTATCAACTTCAGGAGAATTTACGTTGATTTTCTTTTGTCTAATTTTACACATATTCCAATTTCATGGGTTGACTTAACAACGTTTTCTCTCTAGCACCCCCACTTCCAGGACACAGCTGCTTATGTTTTTGTAATTCCTTGGTCTCCTTTAATCTGGAACATTACACAACTGTGTCCATTTGGGTTCTCCTGATCCAAAGTTCAATAGAAGATTGAAAGCACACAAAAATGTATTCGGGGCAACATTATGAAAACCCAAGCAGGAAGTATGTGAAGAGAGACAGAGATGCTATTGGTCTGTCACCTGGGAAGGGAGAGAAGGAACCTTAGTTCCCTGGGATGGGTGGACGAAGTGGGGGAGAGGATGCATCACAGCTGGGAGATGGTCTCAGCTAGGCTCCCTGGGAGTTCCAGAGCAAGGTTCCTACTGGAGGAACCCTCCTTAGGCAGGAGGGGCCCACTTGTCTCCCTCTTTGTTGAGTCCTTGGGGGAGTATTGTCTCTGCATAGCTGCTGTGACCAGCTTAAAGATGCAGTAGCCAAAGGCCATGGGCAGAGGTCATTGACATTGTTGAAGAATATAACATCCCTTCCACTTTTAATGAAGCACTCTCCATTCTAACCTAGTTCTTTTGAAACATTCTCCACAGTCTCCATCTTTTAAAGAAATTATTATTATAATCTTCTGAATATTGAGGTTCTCTCAAAATTTGTATGTTGGGGCCTACTGTTCCATGTGATGACATGAAGAGATGGGTGGGGCCTTTCTGAAAGTGATTAGGTTATGAGGGCTCCACCCTCATCAATGGAATCAGTGTCCTCATAAAGGAAGACAGGGAGGGTTGTCTTGCTGTGTGTAGACACGGAAGCCTCATCTATGAGGAACAGACCTTTGCCAGACATCAAATATGCTGCTGTGTTCTGATTTTGCACTCCCTAGCCTCCAGAACTATGGGAGATAAATTTGTGTTGCTTATAAATTGCCTACCCTAAGGAGTTTTTTGTTACTGCGATGTGAATGGATTGCGATATCGATTACTGTCTATTGGTGCCCCTCTTTTCTTCTATGTTTTAGAATGTATCAACTGGAAACTACAAACAAGTGGGTGTTGCTGGCAGAAACGATTAGTCGGTTAAGTTTTACTTCTGGTGTTACTAGTATCTGAATCAATAGACTGGGTAAAGTGGGTTGTTTTGCCCAGGGTGAGTGGGACTTTTCCAGTCTGTTGAAGGCCTGAATTGGATAAAAGCCTAAGGAAAAGAGAATTCTCTCCTTCCTTCCCCCACCTCTCTTGGTATAGACATATGTTTACTGGTTTTGTTTCTCTAGAGAACTCAAATTCATACCCTCCTGCACCCACACAGAATAACATCCTAAATAGACATCATGGAGGAGATGCATATGCTTTGGGCTCTGTCTAAGTTCTTGGCCCCAAGACCCGTGAGCATAATATAGGGTTATCTTACACTTCTAAATGTTTCTGGTCATTTAAATGTAAGCAGGGTAATTTTTTTAATGCCATTGACCAAATTTTATGCTCTATTCAATAATTCAAGGCTACATTGAGTGTTTGTTGTAAATAAAGTGCCCTGCTGAACTGGTAGAGTTTGCTTTAAAAGTCATATAAAAATAGAATTTTTGTTCATGAAAAGTCCACATTTCAGTTAAGATTATATTATTATAATCTTAATAAATTTCCTATGCTAGTTCAAGATATGCCTTAAATAAATCGAAATTAAAAAAAAATAGCCGACAGGTTGTGGTGCAGAAGGAGGTGGTAAACAAATGCTGCCAGAGAGATGGATTAGGAGAGAGGCCACCCTGGTGTATGTCACACAGCACCAAGGCACCAAGCACACAGCAAAGATGGCAAACTCCCCCTATTGTTGGAAAAATACACAGGTTCAAGACTGAAAAAAAGGGGGCGGGTAGCAGGTACTTGGAAAGGAGAGATGAGTACAAGAATATAAAAACAAACAAACAAACAAACAAACATGCTGGCTCTGCAATCCTGACAGGCTGTAATAACAGTAGCTCTCTCCTATCCCAGGACACACTCCTCCGAGCACCACTTCCCCAGGCATTTAGTCACATTCTGTTTCCTCCATTTTATGAATGAGACAGTTTACTGTTTCCTCCATTTTATGAATGAGACAGTTTAGACTGAGTGGTCTAAAACTCATTCTGGTTTTAGTGGAAGTTTCGTGTGTGTGTGTGTGTGTGTGTGTGTGTGTGTGTGTGTGTGTGTGTGTGTGTTTTGAATACAAAGGAAAAGAGAACCGAACACAAACCCCTAGACGTTTTGCTTGCTTTTTCTTATGATTTATTTAACAAGCTGATATTTAATTTTACAACAGCCCTGGAGGCTAACTGCTCTTATCCTAGTACCAGAAATGAGCGGAGGCTCAGAGACATCAGGTACCCCGCCTCAGATCAGAGCAAAGGTGAGCTAGGATCTGGAAACGAAAACCTTCAGAGGCCGCAGTGGTTTCAGCAATCTCCGACATTCCTGCGGGCAGCCTCTCTACCTCCTCCAGGTAGTTTCAAACAAACCTCCCTTTCATACTTCCACAGTAACATCTAGATGTTGCCCCCTAAGGCACTGATGACATAAATATGGGAATGACCGATAGGTTTAGCACATTCATTAAAAAAGTTAGTTGTTAACCTCAAAGAATTTTCCATTTCCAGCTGGTAGAATGTGAGAGGAAATTCCCCACCCCTTCCAAAGGGGCACCACTAATGGACCTCAGAGCTTAGCCACAAACCAGGACTGTGGCCTTGAACTAGCTACTTCAGCTTTCCTGGTCAAGCATCCCCCCTTGTAAAACGGGGCCATGCTGAGTGATATTTGAGGGCTCTTTCATGCTTTGTAGATTCTACATGCAGAATGCTTTGTGATTCTACAAACATTGAACCATGATATAAGACGGGCAATTTACTTTAAAAATACTTTGTGTCATTCAGACTTCTGTCTTCTTTACCTTAGCAAGTGCATTGGTTCCACATATGGAGCAAAGGGTCATGTCCAAGAAGAGGATGGTTTGATGAGGAGATGCTCTGAAGAACTTTGGGTACCAGGTCTGTGTAGTGATGGCACTTCCAGAATGGCTACCGGTAATCTATGGTTTCAAAGCTATTAATGTGAAGCTACTCTGCATACAGAGGTAAGCACATTTACTGTTTCTAATGTTGCCTTAGGTTCTCCTTTGCTAAGGAAATATTGTTTGGTTGATGCCTTTGTGTTATTCTTACTAGGTGATGAAAAATTAGTCTTAATGATTTACCTCATCAAATGGTGTAAAATTCTAATTGTATAAGACAAACCACACACACACACACACACACACACACACACACACACACACACACACACACACACACAAGCAAAACCAAATCTGTTGTGACCTACACTTACACAGACCAACAGAAATTATGCTGTTAATTGCTCTCCTCCACTTTCTCCCAGTTTTAATAGCTACTGGTAATTGCCACTTCCCAGGGAATCGTGGGAATGTTAGGTAGATTGCCCTCCCTATCTATATTAAACCATTTGTAACAAGTGAATAAGAGGGACCTGGCAAGCAAATAAATTTATGGGCTTAATTTTGTTGCTTGGATTGAGTGCATGTGTTCCAAACTATTTTTAATTGCTGTGACCTTGCCTACTGCTGAAAGCCCAGGAATTTATGAATTGTTACGTAAGATCTACTGATAGATGAACTCTTATCTGCAGAATAAGTTGACTTTCCATTTATGCTTTCCATACTTGCTTGCATTTATATTTGGGGAAATACCAAGCAACTAAAAATACTGTGTTAACACAGAGCTTCACATAAGCCACACACTTGATAGGTGCTTCCCAAAGCGTACACGACTTTACTTAACTTTGTCTTCTACCTAATAAATTCACCCCTTCAGGGAGGAGAAAGAATGCTGAGTTTCCTTTAAAGTCTTGCTTCCACCACAGCTTCTGAATGGCAGTCCTTGACCCCAAATGAAAGTAAAATTAGCTGTAATCATAATTCAGAACAAACTTCTGAATAACATGGATACTAACTATTGCCTACCTAAAAAAAGACAGACACAGACTTCTAGCCACTCCATTTCCAAATATCCTACAAGTATGTTTCTGGTTCTCTCTGGCCATCATGGTTATTCTGAATCTTTATGATAACCAAGAGCTAGCTGAGAAAGCATTTGAAACTGTTCAAACTGTGCTTCACAAGATCTTAATTATTTGATAAAGCCCAAATCTGTTGATAACCATATTTTCTGTCAAGGTGGTATAAGTCCTCTAGTAATATTTATTTAAAAAAATAGTTTTTAAGAATTCAGTAACTACATAGGCAAAAGGCCCAAACTAGACCCCAGCTACTGAAACAAGCCTTAAAAAGACAAATTTGTTAACCACAGATGACAGGGTTCATGTAACATATCTTAAAACATTTTGGGGAATATAGCAGTCCTTAAGTAGTTACTGTCTTCAAGTGTTGATATTTGCATGAGTTGCCTGGACTTAGAACTTATAGAATTCCTTCAAGGTACAGTGTCTTTCCAAATGTCCTTCAACTCATTATTATCATCACACTTTAGTTATTATGGTTGCTTTTAGCCATTTAAGTAGGAAAATGCTCATATAATTCAAAGTGAGGAGCCTTGTGCAGACCAGCATGTTAGTACAGGAAGCAGCATTTAAGCGAGACAACTGCTTCCAGCTCTGGCCACCAAATACGACCAGTGTTCTCCATCCAAGCCTCATATTGTAGCTACCTACTGGTTTGAAAAACTGCTATAGATCTCTAGGTCCTTTCCTAGAGGTTTCATCCAGGAATTTCAAGGTTCTATTATACCTGTTAAATTATATATAAAATACATTTACATATATATTTCTATTGTTCTAATCTTCTATAGTTAAAGAAAAAGGTCACAGTTGGTTCTGATGCACACTGATCCTGAAGTCTTAGGTATAGTTGAGTAACATTAAAAGTATCCATTTATTCTCTGTGAAATCATTTGTCAAATGTAGTACTTATATTGGACTTTGGAACAAGGTAGACTGGTAAGTTCCAGCACTCAGGGTAGAAACTTGGGGGGGGGGGTGGAAATTGCTTACTTTCACTGAGTCTCAGATTTTCAATAAACCTTGGAGGCCATAGTTTCCTAACTGAATGCTGTGACTATGACATCTGGTCATTTGTGTGCCATGTGTTCCATGGCACCTTACTTAGTAAATACATAATATAGCATAGCTGTGATAACTTCTGCCTCAGAAGCCAAATACAAGAGACTACTTACCTATGTCAGGAGAACCTAAAAATTGCAAAGCCTGGTTATTATACAAAAGCTTTTGGAAACCAACGATGAGCTACTTTGGGAACAGAGGGACATGGAAAAATAGAATGAGTCTTCTTCAGCATAAAGGGGAATGTCTGAGAAGGAGGTTTCTCTGAAAACAAGATATAATAATGAATACTGGTTAAGGACCAGCTTCTACCAGAAAGGTCATTGCTACTCTCAGCTCTCACCCTGGTGGAAGAGTGGGTTTTCTTGGTAATTCAGGTTTCTGTTACTGTAACAAATGCCTTAGGAATCAACTTAGGAAGAAGAAAGGTTTTTCTCAGGCTCAGAGTTTTGAAGGTTTAGTCCATTATCAATGACCCCCATTGCCTTTGAGTCTGTAGTGAGGTAGGACATCACAGCATAATGTAAGAGCTCATTTTATAGTTGGGGGGTGAATAAGAAGAAAGAGGAAGAAGTTGAAATTCTACAGTCCCCTTCATACCCCAGTTACCTGGAGGCCTCCAACAAGCCTGCTTCTGGAAGTTTTCACCATATCCTAATCGGGTAAAAATAGACCAGCCCCCCTCCTTCCTCTCTCGTCAGAACGTGTATATGTTTTACAATATTTTTGTTTTGTTATTTACCTATGTATATGTGTCTGAGTGTGTGTGTGTGTGTGCACATGTGTTTTTATGCCATGCGGAGTCCAGAAGAGTGTGACTGATCTGGAGCTGGAGCCGCAGGTGGTTATGAGTAGCCTGGCTTGTGTTTGGGAGCCCAAGCATTGTTTTGTGGAAGAGCAACAATCACTTTTAACCACTGATTCTTCTCTCTGTCCCCTGCACCTGCTTCTTAACTGGACTCCTCCTCTTATATTACTTAAGTCCACTGTCCTTTTGTCTCTGTCCACTAACCCAGGCTCAGTGAAGATTTCCTTCCATCCCTTGAATTTAAGTTCTCACATTTAATAGTTAAAGCATATCCATTATATTACTTTGTGAATGTTAGTTCTGCCTTCCCAAATTATTTTCAAATTTTCAGAGGCAAAACTGTTTCTTAACCCACATTTGTGTCTTTTCCCTTGGCAGGCCCCACAAAGACTCGGGTATAAAGGATGGCCTCATAAAAGCAGACTGAGTGCCAAGAAGCACCATCTATGTGTGAAAGAGGCAGCCAGAGAGGCATCTTTAATGCCTAGAATGTTAGCAACTTAAGTTCAGTTTTTACCAGCTCGCCTTTGCTTTCCAACAGAGGCACACAAGACACACAAATTATTTTTATCCCTCCATGGACTATCTTTGTTGACCCACTTGGATTTCCTTTTTCTTCCTCTAAACAGTGGCTTGCAAAATTGTTTACATGTTAGAATGATCTGGCACCGGGAGATGATTCAGTGGGTAAGAGCACTTGCTTCCCAAACATGAAGACTGAGTTCAAATTCCCAGCATCTATGTAAATGTCAGGTATGTCACAGGACCTGAGTTCAAACTCCCATCACCAACATAGAGGATCAGTGTGACCACATGTGCCTGTAGTTCCAGCAGTGTTTGTGTGTGTGTGTGTGTGTGTGTGTGTGTGTGTGTGTGTGTGTGTGTGTGTGTGTGACAGATGGAGCCAAGAACATACTGACCAGCGACTCCAGTTAAAAAATCATGAAGTCCAGGTTCAGTAAAAGATGTCCTTCTCAAGGGAGTTAGTTGGAGAATTACAGAGTAAGATACTCAGTATCCTCTTCTGGCCTCTTCATGCACATACATAGGCATGCACACTTGCACATACATATATATACTATGCACAATACACACACAGATACAAAAATGCAGGCAAGCATGTGTACACATGT